GCAAAGTGTAAATATTTTTTGTGAGTGTAATATATTTACTCAGTAGAGGCTAGAACCTGAGTCCTCATCTACAGGTGAAAAAGCCTGACTGCAGCATTCAGATTTACCAGAGTRGCAGCTTAACATTAACAACTCAAGGAATATTTCTCATGGAAATTTTGGCTAATAGATCCCAATCATGTTGCATATAGCAGAATGTTTTGGGGTCTGGGAGGGAATGTTGCCTTGGCTTTCTGTGCTCTGTGATTCTGAATGATGAAAACTAAGAAGTTAATTACCTTAAACCACACTAGCAAACACCTCACCATTGCTTTCAGTAAAACAACGCTGTGTGTTTGCAACCAGCAAAAKAAAAGAGATTGAATGGGTATAACCAGGGCAGAATTTGGAGGTCATCATGTGTCAGACAGAGAGTTGATGGAAGGGTGCAGAGCTGTGGCTCCCTGATATGTCTTGCATCCATTCAGCTCAGTAAAAAGCTGTTTTATGTCTTTGARACATAGAAGGGAGCAGGAAAAGCTGGAAATCTGACTGTGACAATACTGCTTTCAGGGTAAGTGCTTTCAGGGTTGGTACAGATATAAAAACAAACATGAAGGAGCTCATTTTGGGCATTGGCTTAAGGACCGCAAGAATTCACACTGTGAATCTGAGCTTTACTCCAAAACAGAAAACAAAGAGTATGCCATCTCCATGATGTTTGTTAATGCAAATTGTATAACTGCATAAAAACTGGGAAACTTTGAATTTACCCTTCCAGCACACCTGAAGGCATATGAGTCATAGCAGAAGCTATGTAATATTTTGTTTTCTGGTTTTTTTTTGGTCTCATTCTCTTGGTGGCATGCAATTTCTTCTCCTGCYGTAGTTCCACTGCATTTCAGTTCCAAAGGAAGAGTGTTTTCTCCCTGGGGTATGTCCCACATCAGAATGCTGCCACATGCCCTGCATTTGACCTTTTATTTTTGTTTAAAGGTAGGAAAGAGTTTATTTTTTAGAGGAAAAAAAATTAATTCTTTTCCTCAGAAATGCTTTTATGATGATAGGACAGCTGTGGGAGAGGAAGAAAAGAGAATTTATGCTTAAACAAAGGACAGGGAAAGGTCAGAAAGCAATCTACAGGACTGCAGAATCATTTCACCTATTCCTCAGAGCAATTTCTCTAAGCAATGAAAGAAGTAAAACCAATTGCATATGCCTCAAATACAAAACAAAAATAGTTAAAATAGATGTCAGACTACATTTTTGTACTTCTTTTTGTCCTTGGAAAAAAAATTGTGCAATTTCCAGGCCACTACAACATCAATCACATTGTGATGTGCTGCTAATAAGGCTGGAGACAATGCAATTTCTTGTCAGTCATCAGTCAGTGGCTCCAAGGATGGATTTCATCCACAAAAGAATCCAGCAGGCCAGGACTGCTTTTATTGTGAGGTGTGTTTATTACTCAAGAACCACTGTATGCTGATTTCCCCGTAGCAATTGTCTTTTTTCCTTTGATTTTCCCATCACTTCTGCAAACAGTTTTTGTATGTAACCAACCCCAACAATCTTACTGTAGGCAAGTGATTTCAATATCAGAATAAAACTTTTGAATGAGGAAAGTTTTCTGTGACTCATTAARATCCATGGGAAGAGATTCAGAGCTACATTGCAAGGGTTATATTGTGCCACCTTTCACTCCAGCTGAGTGGCACATTTTTCTGGTTATATCTCATATTGGTTTGAGTGTGATCCAGGCACTACTGATTATCAAATAAACAGATATGTTTGGCCTGGAATATTTACTCAGAGGAGTGAAATAATGAAAACTAGTCCTTAGTCTGTCCTACAAAGCACTGAACCTACTATTTTCTGGCAGTCAATGTGAATTCCTAGTGAAGGTGACAAAGGAAAATATTCTTGCTTCCCTCATATTAGACTTAACCASCATTACAGCAACAAAGAGCATGCTGTGGTGCAGGTTTCAAAAGTGACAGAGAAGTATTCAACTGTCCTTATTATAAGAACAAAATTAATTGAACACAGATCACACAGTATTTGGAAACATGTTCATGGACATGCCAGTGCTTTTACAGAGCAGAAAATGTCCAAGTGTTAATGAAAAAATGAATTGAAATCTAAGAATTACAACATTCTCATCAAAATCAATTGAAACATAATTTAGGTATCATTTTTATTTTACAGGAAAAATTTTCCAAAATCTTTTCCAATTTTTATAATTTTTAAAGTATTTTTTAAACCAAAACATACTTGGCTGTTTTGCCGGTACTTATTTTTGCAGCTGTTATGTGTGTTTCCTCTTTGTTTCTAGAAAATACATTCATTCCTGTCTCGTGGTCCAAGAGGATGTGGTGCAAGATTTCAGGAGCTGCTCTTAGAAAGAAAATGTRGGACCCCCTTCTTGCACAAATCTAGGAAGCTTGACAACACACATAARTTGTTCCAGTGCTTTACTTGATTTAAAAGGCTTAATGCAAGTTAAATTGACAATGTAAAATGTAATGGGCTGCAAATGAACTGTTCTAAAGATCTCATTATCAACATTGTTTGTTACAGAGATTTTACAATTATTTTGATCACAGGATGCTCCAAACCCAGTCTATTTTGTGTAATTTATCCTCCAGTTTTTTCCCCAATGCCCCATTGTTCTTCCTACCGGGAAGCCCCATGAAATCACCCACACTAAACCACACTTGGGGGTATTGTAGTTGAGCACAGGAATTTTGAGCGCTAACAGATAGGAAACTGGCAATTTGCACTTTGGGATTTAGAGTGTTATTTTTAGCCTGGAAGAGATTTGATATTTAAAGCAGAGATCTGATGTCACCTTTAAATGGCACAAGAGCGTATGGCACAGACATCCCCACACTAACAAGGGAATCTTTGCATGAGCCAGTGCTGTCCAGAGAGTTTTACTGCACGCTCAGGGAATCATTGTCAGAGCCCTGGGCTTTGGCTGCACTGCGGGGCTGATAAAGAGAAGGGTATAACATTACTGCTGTTGCTATGGCAGTACTCAAAGACCAGCCAAAACCAGGGTTTGCCTGTGMTGGGTGCTCAGTTATTCCCCTAATGGTACATTTTGGTTCTGCTAGCCCTGTGTCCAGGAAAAAATAAACATTTTATCTTAGAGCAGAATATTAGGACTTGCCTCTTCATAAGACAACAAAACCCTCACAAATAAAAGTCAATGTGAAGAGTTCTGGCAACACATAAAAAGCCAGAAAATGAATTCAGTGAATATGGCATAGCAGTAATTATCTTTTTTTTTTTTTTTTCTTTTTTTGAGTCAGCATGTGTGATCTGTAAGAGATTGACCCAATTCCAGCTTGAATGGGTTTCCTCTACCATTTAACTGCATTAGTGAACAGAAATACTAAATAAGCACATTATCATTATTCATGACAAACCATTTGCTAAATTAACTGAAATTACTGTATTCACATTCTCAGGAGTTGCTGTTTGTACAGTCCTGAGCAGAATGGACATGTTTTATAATTTGCCTTTGAAGCAACACGCCATGGTGAAAGCTGATGAAATTCCTGCATGCAAGCACAGTGGAAGCCATTACCTAGAGAAGCAGCTGCTTCCCTTCTGCTGCACTAGAAATAAATTGGAATTTATAAAATAATCATGCCAGATTATTTTATAAATATCTGGTGATGTGAATATCTGGTGATGTGAAAACAATCCCTTGGCTTTTAGAAGAAGGTGGTCCTGTATGTCAGCAACACCAAAAACGGACAAAGCTTCACTGTGATAAAATGAAATGGAGGTGGATATACACTGTGATAAAATGAAATGCAGGTGAATATACATGGATAGAAATGAAGGTGGCTGAAGGTGTGGGGAGAAAATGCAGTCCATAACACAGCATCAGTGAAAAAGATTGCCTATTTATGCTATAAGCTTTATGTTTTATCTAAGTGCAGCTAAAAGGAAGCCGGGTATGGATATTTGCAAGATAATTCTCAGATTCTGGCTTAGAAAAARATGTTAAGAAGGAGTTGAAAACTGGAACATCAAAGGCCAAGTGCTGTGCCCTACTGCCAAGTTAGCTTCATGAGGGGACTCTGGTGTCTGGTGACGTAGACTGCCTGCAGGACTCCTGGTGCAGAGGGAAATGTCAAAGCAGAGGAGAACTTGATGAGGCTACAGGTTTCTTTAACRTCAGGGATACTGATGGGAAGAGCCTTCACATTTTTAGCTGAAACTTTGAGGAAGTTTTTAAATGAGTTGGAAAAGCAGCAGATTAGACARTCAAAACAAGAAAAAAAGGTGGAAATAAATTAGTGCTTTAATTCTCACKTTTTTGTTGTTGTCTTGCCTTCCTTTCTCAAGCAGACTTGTGCATCCAYAGTATATTATTCTCTTACAATCATTGATTTTGAAAATCCAAAACATATTTTAGGCATTTCCAAAGGACTGGCATAAAYGTGGGAGCTCCGTGCCTTCCCTTATCCTAGCAGGTTCAACCTTTAACCCAGTTTGAGGTATTAAAAGGCTTGATTTACTTATAGCTGGATAAAATTTTTGAACCAAATGCTGGCCTCCCTATATATAAGATATTAAACTCAAACCTCATACCTAAATATCTTCAAATATGTTTCTGAATGACTAGGTCGCTTTTGTTTAAATTAATGGGTTTTTTTCATAAAGAAGTAATCATGACATTGTGCAAGTTAGGATTTCTTGTTCAAGAGCTCRAGACTATGGAATACAGTCTGCCAGACCTGCTACTATGACAGACATTCCTGATGCATTTTGTTGTTGCTCTTTGGTTTAAACAGGTAACATATAGTCCTAATAAGAGATGTGGTTTTTAATAATCGCATTTAAATATACTCATGGGCGTATAACTTGACTTGTTAGGCAAGAAGTATTAAAAAGGATTTACTTGTTTAATTAATAAAGCTGAAGCATCGATTCCATTGGTTATTTTTTTTCCTCAGGCAAATAGTTCCCCCACACTCTGCTTCCCGCAGTGAAGCATTTACCTTTTATGCAGAAGGGTCCGTCATAGGCAGTTCTGGAGCAGTCACAGGAGTAACCATTGTATTTCTCCACACATTTCCCACCATTGGCACAGTACATCCCGTAGCTCGTGCAGTGGCCAGAGCAGCCGGGCTTCACCCCGGGTGTGACTTTGGCTCTCTCTTCCAGGTCCAGTGTCACCCCGTTCATCCTCAGGGAACGAATGCAGCCTAGGAAGCCTCGCTGGCCTCCTGCAGCACCTGAGAGGGAATGTTGAGCTGTGAGACAGCACTGAACAGATTTTATTGTAGTTGGTTTACATGAAATATCCTGCTGGGACTGTGGAAACTTCTTTATAAGGGCAAGGAATTGCCTTGTCATCAGTGCAATATGATACCATACCATAGGTAAGCATAACTAGTAGTTTTTTATCAATGCTTGCTTTATACAGATTAGACATTTGAAACTCTAGCCCTACACTAGATTTCCTTTCATTCCAACTTCAGTGTTTTTAGAGATAACAGTGGAAGAAATGCGCTTGGCTTGATTGCTAAGGTACAGCCTTTCTCTCCTAATGATTAGGGATGGTGGGTGCCAATAATAGTGCCATAATATGCTATGCAGTGTTACATTTTTCAAAGCCACAATGGGCAAAGAAGAAAAAGATTCAAATCCCCATTCTCAGTTACAACAGAAAATATTCATGTTGATTTTCAAGAAACATCATGTATATTGTTTACTTATCAGARCATAGACTGAAGGATGGAACACTGGAAAACTACATTTGACAATCTGGGCTGAGATGGCTTTTTATAGCAGTTAATAAGAACAATCCTTTTTCACMCCTAGTAAACACTCCCTGAAAAAATGTGATTTCAGCTAGGAAATCTGAGGCTGGATTAGAAACAACAATGAAAAAAACCCCAAACTAACAAATGCAAGTAAATAACAATGAGTGCTGGCATCTTTCCTGCTCATCCCTCCTCTCTTTGATTACTGCAGTGCTGCAGGTGCCAGAGAGTCCCTGAGGAGATTTGAATGCTCATCACCACAGAGCACAGAGGCTGATATTTACCTGAGTGGGGAAGAGGACTACAAACAAACCAGAGAGGGCTGCTTCAAATCAAGTACTGGCAACTGGATGATTTGGAGTATAAGCAAGGCTTGGTCTCTGCTGAGTGCACATGGCAGAGGGTGTTCTTTAAACATTGTTTTAATTCATTTGAGTTGTTGAATGCTGACTAACATGGAGTTAGTCTCTTGCTAACAGGTATCTAGAGAAGTATGGCAAGGCGTCTTTGCTCAACATTTCATGCAGTTCTGATTCCATTCTATGTGAACTCAYGCACACTGCAGGAATAAAAAACCTTATTTCCCCTTTCAGTGACTGTCCTAGCCCCTAGAAAACAAAGCCACTATCCCTCAGGCCCTCTTGCTGAAAGAAGAAGAATAGATATTTTTCTACAGAAAATGGAACAGGAGGCACCAAAACAATTCTTATTCAGTATTACTCTCTAGGCCCCCAATATTCAGTGTTCATTCTGGGCACTCCAACTCAAATCCATTCCAGGTCTGGCTCCTGGTAAAGTTTAAATCTGTTCTCYGATACGTGTGTTCCAATCACCTAGTTATATGAAATAAATGTAATTCAAAAAGAAAAAAAACATCAGGTGCAGATAGTGACATTCATTTTTTAACAATAAAGGTACTACATATTTCAAAACTTTGCTGGGGTTACAGTCAATTCAAAACTAACAAATAAAATAATCTTTATCAACAGTTCTCAATGAACTCAGGCTAAAAAAAAGAAATCCAGCTCTTGCTGTTTATAGCAAAAGACTAGGTATTTTTTTTAAAAGTTTAAGTGTCCTTCTTTTAAACAAAATTCATCTTTCAGCTTATTTTGAAACTRCCTTTTACTGTGATCACAGCAGTAAAGGAGAATCTGAGCTTGTAAATAACACCTGCATATCTGGTGACCCATTACACACAGTTTGCAGCAACACTGGGCTGATTGCAAAGGCAATGAAGGCTTTAAACATCATTTTAATTCATTTGAGTTGTTGAATGCTGACTAACATAGAGTTAGTCACTTGTTAACAGATATCTAGAGAGGTATGGCAGGGTGTCTTTGCTCAACATTTCATGYGGTTCTGATTCCAGCTAATGGCACTTGGCATGTCGGCACCGTGCAGCCCCGCAGCTAACAGTCAGAGAAATACAAATGATGCTGGAATAGCRTGCCCAAAATGTAGCGAAAACCAGCAGTTCCAGAAAGCAGTTGGACTAGCTGTTTCCAGGGAATGCATTTGTGTAACACTATGTGRTGCTTTCCTACATTTAATGAGTAAACAGCCCACGGGACGGAAGGGAAAAGACTGCAGTGAGAGCTGTGAATGCAGAAGCACGGCCAATGATCAAATCCAAAGAGGCTGGAAGTRCTGCCGAGGCTARGATGGGCACTGCAGGCACATGYAGTCCTGGAAAGAACTCTGCAGAAGTTTTCACTTCTGTAGTGAATAAGTGTGTGTRTCKCTCTCTCTGAGAAGAGACACTCAGCAAGAAAAGGAGTTTGGCACTGCAGTCTGCCAGAGGCACTTTCAGCCAGGAGCTGCAGGTGGAARAAGACAAAAAGGACAAGTTTCTAACCTGCAATATTTTTCTCCTAGTTGATCTTTGTATTTTTGTAATTATGGACATGTTTGACTTTTCTTCTTCATTTCTCCCCCGCCCCCGCCTCTGTTTTCAAGCAGGGCAAGACATGAGGCAAACAGTGTTCAGCATGTGAGAGCAAAGCCTGGCTTCCCTCTCTGCTTCTTACCAACATAGAGCTGGCTGTACAATTCCAGCCGTGTGTGTCCTTCTGTTGGTGCCTTCCGGACCTCCAGGGGTAACTGATCCACCTGCAGGCTGGCCTGCTTGACGTTCCTCTCGGCATTGACCCGGTGCCATTGGTCATCGTTGAGCGGGTTGGGAGATCTCACGACGATTTCCACCGGCCCGTTTCCCACATCAAAGGAAAAGGAGACCTCTGTAGCAGCTGAAACACCAAGCAAAAGGTGCCCACAGTGCAATCTTACATTGTCAACACACTCACTTATACTTCCTAAACAGTAAGGAATCATAGCAAATAGAAATACATGCTTCTAAGTCGTCTTTCTGAATTTATAAGCACATCCAGTTCCTTCTGAYTTGAATAGGAGTCAGACTTTTAGAAGAAAACATCAGCAGATGCAGATCTGCATCAGCAGATCTCAACCTATTGCATTAATATTTGAACTCTTTCCAGTTTATGTGGGTTTTTCAGGGAATAAACATTTGGGTAAAAAAAACAGTGCAGATGTCTAAATTTATGAATTTTTTGTTTAGAGTGGCAATTAAATCTTGCAATGAACTAATAGTGCTATGATTAATATCCATAGAGATTTCATGCCTGGAAAAGAAATGAATCTTTAGTAAGCCCCRCCATGCTCCGTTCATAGGGTACGATTAAAACCATGTTTAGATATTTTACAAATGTCCATAAAGTCCTACTAGATATTCCTTTCAAGTCATCCTTGGCAAATATATAATTGATAGTTATTATTGAAAGGTGAGTGTGATTAATAATATAAAATGATTTTTTTAACAAAATAATATAATTAGAATTTTCCTATCAATATTTAGTTTATATAACTTTGGGCTGCAAATTTTATTCTGGCAGCAAAACATCAGATGAAAGGGTTAACAGAAAATGGATTACCAATTACAGCATTCAGAAGGGAGGATACCAGACAGAACTAAAGACATCCAAGAGTTGCATTTAACTTAGTTCTTTTACATACAAAATAAAAAAAAAAGCCAGAGCTCCCTTTTATTTCCTTCGAAAAATCTCGGGTGCCCAATTATGGTCTGCATGTTCCCGTACAGTTGTGGTTTCTGGTTTGGTTGAATTGTCAAAGCACTATTATAAAACTCTTTCTCAGCAAGGTTATTAAATTGTGGTAAAAATACTCCATGTTCATTAGCCCTAAGAATGCTGATAAGTAGTGGGAAATATTTTTGTACATGGCCTAACAGATTTTCACAAGATGATATCAGACTTACTTAACAATATTTTAATGAAAAGTGAAAGGATAGGAATGTTTTTTTTACAGACAATATCCTTTCAACCCAAATTTATTATAGAATTGAGGTTTTTTTTTTCAAAACTGGCTACTTCTAAAAGAAAAAAATGAAAAGCTTTCTGTTCTCTGCTGAATAAAAAAAATAATTTCTTGAATGAACTGTCTTTCATAAGCCATGGATTTAGTCTGTTTGGCCTTTTGCACTTTACAAGGCACAAAATTTGTATAAAGCTTGCTGTTAAAGAAATAAAGATGTTTTGTTTTAATGTTGTTATGTTTTGTAACTTCAGTGGTTCTGCCAATAAACCCGGCAAAGTAGGAATTAGAGTAAAATCTCTCTCCAGTACTTAAATTACATGTTGTGCTCAAGTGTGTTTCCAAGGGTCTGTGTATAATTTTGCTTTGATTTTGCTTTGAAGAACTGACTCAGATCTCTTGGCTGTCAGGCTTGACGTGCTTCCCAAAAGCTGTTGGTCTACAAGACTGTAAAATAAGCACCACTTAGCAGACTTTTTCTCTTATTCTGAGGCAGCCGATGACACTGTCAATATTGCTGCTGTGTAKCTTGACTATTATCCATTCAAATTTTCAAAAACCTCCACAAGAATGCTTCTTGGTTTGCAAGCTCCTGGCCTTCTGGACAGAATTATTTTAATTAATAGAATTTTTTATCCCTAATTTTCTTAAAGGAAAGTTATTCTTCTTTTAAAAGGGAAAATGAAGAAAACTGGCAAATAGAGATATTTCAAGTAGAAGTTTTGTGTCTGTGTAGCCTAATTTTTTGCATGGCTTAAAACTAAAATTTGTATCACAGCCTAAAAGGCATATAAATAAATTCTTACTTTTGGAGAAAATTATTCACTTTGAAATGAGTGYCATTTGTATAAATTAATATTATATTTTAATATTTAATCTTATAGTTAGGGAAGGAATACCATTCCAGCAAAATCTTTTCATCAAAGCCATTTTCAGTGCACGTACCCAGACCCTTATACACAGACCCTTGGAAACATGCTGAAAGGTGGACAAGATAGTAGAGCATYTCTAGACTGTCCTGATCCTTCCTCAACCAACCTAAAAACATGATTCTCATACAAAAGGTGAGGAAATGTATTTGCTRGACTGATGGACTGAAAAAAACATGAATACTTCAATGAAAATATGRGCAGAGGCTGCAYAACAGGAGCTCTCATATGYAAGTTATGCTGCTGGTTCTGAGTCYTCATTCTTAGTCCCRTTTTCARTCTATGGAATAAGTGMTTTCCAACCAGGGACATCYCTAGGTAAGAKGACAGGTCTTAACACAAATGGATGAACACCTGACCACAGGCAAATTAGTGAGAAAATAAAGATGAAAAATTTCATGCCCCCAAAATTGAGACAGGTGACCTGGTGGCAACCAAGAGGCAGAAAGTGGAGGTACCCAACTTTGTTTTTGTCTCAGTTTTTACCAGCAATTGCTCTTCCCACGTCTGTTGAGACCCTGAGTCTCAAAGCAGGGATAGGGAGAATGAATAGTTCAAGGTCAGGTTGGATGGGACTTTGAGCACACTGTACTGCCCTCACTCCTTCTTTTTTCTCTATGCCTTTACTGCTGAGCAAGGTTTTGAACTTTTGGCCACTGCCCAGCAATAGCCAAAACACTGGTGAGATATCGATGATATTTTAGGCACAAATCCAAAACGCACCATCATATGTGCTGCTGAGAAGAGTAACTCCACCCCAACCACAGCCAGGGAAACATCTAATTTGCTCAGAAGTCCAGTGTAACTACTTGTATAGAACAGTGGCAATTATTCAGCTTTTTTTCCTAAGTACATTACAATTTTCARTCTCTGTCTACACATACAATCCTTGCACGATCAGGCCTCTTTGACTCAAATACATCTTTGGCTGATGTGACAGTGGTACTATTCTGCCAAACATTTGAATGGGATGATTAAAAAAAAATATTTAACATACGTACATATATATGAGTATTTATTTATGAYGACTGACTCAGTCAGCATAGGATTTTATTCAAAAAGATGTAGGAAATGAGCAGTAAAGATCCCTGGGATTTGTAGTGTCACTTTGTAGGTAATGGGGTGAGTTTTCCTAATAATAGTTTTATTTTCTAGTCTACCAAATACCTTAACACCCAAACCAGCTTTACTAAGAAATGAGACTAAGGATCAGACTTTGAATAAATGTCGGAAATTGCCTAATTATGAAATAMATTTTAAAAAGTAAATGTAGGTTTTAATTTACTATTTTTTTCAGTCAGCAAAAGTTTTTGTGATGAAAATTTTGTAAAATTGAATGATGGTGAATTTTTTATGTGTTCCTGCTGCATAAATTCACTCAATAAACTTAARTTTGCAGCTTAGTTTTACCCTTTCTGTGCCTTGTGCAATTACAAATAATTAAATCTGAACACGTTTCTTTCATCGATTCAATTTTCTAAGGTCTCAGGATGTTGTCAGCCATCTGTTCAGAACACAGAAGAGCAACGTTGGCAAACAAAATGCCCTTCCCTCTCTTTGTTCTGTGTTGTTTTTTAGCACTATTCAGATCTCACCATTTYCTCATCTTAAATCTATGMRRCATTTGCCCATAAAAACAAAGGGGTACAACTTTGTGCAGGAAGACCKGKACWGGCTGGAAGAGTGGGCTAACAAGAACCTGTGAAGTTCGTCAATGACAAATATAAGAAGGTCCACAAATATGATCAAAGATGGGAGGCCTTCAGGAGGAAAGGCTGAGAAAACTGTGCTTRTTTAGCTTTGAGAAAGAAAGCTTGGGGGACACCTTATCACCATTGTTCTGGTATTTGAAGGGTGGTTATAAAAAAGATGGAGACATCCCTTTTATAGGAAGTCACAAGGAAAGGTGAAGGGTAATGGGAATAAGTTACTCCTGGGGACACACAAGAGGAAAATTTGTTACAATRACAACAATCAGATACTRGGATATTCTCTCCAGGACARTGGTARGTTCCTCTATACTGGACACTTTRAAGATTCAGCTGGAYRGGGYGCTAGGACATCTTTTTCAGACTGTGCTCTCGTTAAGAATGGTTGGACCAAATGATCCTTGAGACCCCTTCTAACCGGGTATTCTGTGATTCTATGACGGCATTGTCTGTAAGATTCCATGTTTCTTAGGTCCTTTCAAGTTTTTCACATAGATATGCTTTAGTTTAACACAAGTTCTCAGGGTCAGCTGCAGGGTAAGTTGCATGCCCTTCTGTGCCCTGTGCTATGCAGAAGGTCAGGTTAAATGAGCTGATATACTTTTCTGACATTCGAGATCTATGACCAGCCAGATCTCCCATTTTCCTTGAACTCCTTGTCTTTCAAGTCCCTTTTTTGTCCTGTTTTCTAGTTTGACCTTTGTTGATGAATTTCAGGTTAGGATCCCTAGTTCTAAAGAAGCTGCCAGCAAAGAAAGAGATGTTAATGGATGGGTGGCTACTTACAAGATGCTAAGCAGCGTGTTCTCAAGACACCTAAACTGTGAAAAAAAGGAAGAGGGATTACAGCCCCCCTCTCAAGCATCTGTCTAATGGATGCCCATCTCTCTATTTCTCTCCTCCTCCCACATTTTCCTTCTTTTGGAACACATAGTTTTGTGTCCTCCCTCCTACTTTGTTTCTCTTAGCTCCCCTGATGTATTTTTATACCTTTCAAACGGGACTGATGGATGTTTTAGTTGACTTACATCAAAGGGAAGAGTATCTAACTTCTTTAGGATCCTTCTGAAATCCTATTCTTAGAACACAGAYGCAGTGTTACATCTAGAATCAGAGCTCACTCACTTGGCTGTAAAATAATTTCCAACAATAAGTATAAACTGTAAACTGAATCTGCTAGAMAGTTATTTGTTCTGAGAAAACAACAGCTTGAAAATATTCTGTCTCTGTAGGGGCAACATCTGCCAGACTTCTTGGACA